GTTAAGAGTCATCCAGGTTTTTATGTATTCAGAGATGCCTGTAATCTATGTAATGGGTTAGCTTCATCTGGATTATAGACAGATATTGCTAATGATTTCATTTTTGATAGAATCAATCTTATTTATAAAGAATCCCATAAAATCATTACTGCTAAGAGCAGGTGGAAATGACGGTTCAACAGAGCTATGGCTCTGGGTGAGTTTGGCAACTTGATTAAAAAGAAATCTAGGATTATTCTTATTCTCCTCTATTAATGCGGAGAAGTATGCTGCTCTTGCTTTACAAAGGGTCCTCTTATACATGGACATTGTGTGAACTTTAATGCAAACCCTTTTCCAGTCCTGTTCACTGATGTTTGCTGATAGATCCAACTTCCAGTTTATAAGCGTATTATTTGAGTTCTCTGGTGAGTTAGAGATCAGAATATTATAAAAGTCTGAAAAAATGCCCTTCCTTGATTTATTCCAAGTCATTAACTGTTCAAGTGGTGTAAGAGGGGGCTTGTTAAGATTGTTGTAATTTGCTTTATCAAAAAATTTAAAATAATGCTTTTTATTCAGCTTGAATTTGGTTTGTAGCTCTGCAAATGTGGCTGCCTTTTAGCTTTGGGTTCCCTGTGTTACCCGTTCACCAAACTTCTATTGACTAAATTAGCTGAGATTGTTCTCTACATCCAGTCATTTAATTGTTCTGATAAAATGAAATCTGCTTTTTATTCCACATCTCTGGGATTATATTGAGGAGAAAGTGACTGTGTCATCATTCTGTCAGCGGTGAGGACGTGGCGAGGACAGGCCGCCACCCGCAGCGCTCTCACTCTCTGTGCCTGGTGGGGTTCGCTCTAATGGTGGCTGCTTGTGTTATACGTAAAGAGGCAGGGCGATGTAGGTCAGGATTCAGCGCTCCATAACCCCGGGACCCGCACTCGAGTCTTTTCAGACAACACACTCCCCTGGGGCACACACACACAGAGACATGAACTGAAGCTGGAGAGACACAGAATGGGAGAGTGATGTTCTGCACCCTGGAGATGCGTGCCGCGCTCTGCTGCACTTTGACAGTAACATGGACTGATCTCTCCGACTCTCGCTGTTGTTTATCAAGTCATGACTCGGTTTTCAGCGACTCTCCAGACTCACCAAATGTGACACTCTTCCTTCTCAGCATAAAATCTGATCCAATGTGCAAAAAAAGGGTCACAGGCTGAAAAGTTGCCAGGAAGCGATGCAGTGAAATGAAACAAACACCAATTCTTATCTAAATGCTGCTGGGAAGCTAAAACAGCAGGACCAAAGTGACTCCATCCATCCATCCAGGTAGCAGCCAGTAACGTCGCGTTGGACAGGATGTCTCAGATTAAACATCAGCTGAGGAGAGGTAACAGCAATTAACATGCGGTGCTGGTGTCTCCGTGATTGGGATGGTTCTGTTCTTCTAGTTTGGGTTCTATTTGTAGCAAAAGACATACAAGGGGAGGGGGCATCTGAAGGGGATCAAGACATCAAACCTACAAATTAACTCAGTAGAATGATGTGGAGGAGGACCCCTAGGTCCGCTTGGCTCAGGAGGTCAATGAAGGCTTACAGGAACCGTCAGAAAGTCTGATGAAAGCTCCAAGAGAAGCTTTATATTCAGGAAGGAGCTCAAGTGATGGTCTAAGATCACCAAGGAGATTGGTAACCTGGTAACCGTGAAGGAGCTGGAGTGGAGGCCTGAGATCACCAAGGAGATCGGTAATCTGGTAACCATGAAGGAGCTGGAGTGGAGGCCTGAGATCACCAAGGAGATCGGTAACCTGGTAACCATGAAGGTGCTGGAGTGGAGGCCTGAGATCACCAAGGAGATCGGTAACCTGGTAACCATGAAGGAGCTGGAGTGGAGGCCTAAGATCACCAAGAAGATCGGTAACCTGGTAACCATGAAGGAGCTGGAGTGGAGGCTGGTAACCATGAAGGAGCTGGAGTGGAGGCCTGAGATCACCAAGGAGATCGGTAACCTGGTAACCATGAAGGAGCTGGAGTGGAGGCCTGAGATCACCAAGG